TCCTTCGTATCTTATCGTCTAATTTAGATATCAACTCACTTGTTTTATCCACTTAAATAAGACGTTTCAAACTCGTTAACTCTTGTTGTAGTTTGGGTTCGTCCACAAGATTTTTAATATTTCGTCTGATGAATCTTTTCACGTCATTTATTCTATTTTAAAACATGGTCCTTATCTATTTGAATTGCGTTTATTTGATCCAGTAAATATTTCTTGTTCACGGCATCGTTATCGTTTCCTGGAAACTTTAAATTAGTTATTTTGAAATTGTTCATATCGATATCCCCTTGTAAGGTGTCTCCGATTTGATCCACGAAAAAAGGTTTCGCTTTGTTTATAAACGCCGTAGAACTCATGGGATTTTTAGATTCTAGAGGTAAAGACCCTAATCCAAACTTGTTTGCCATTTTTATTGAGTTAAATTTATTATAATTTCTTCAAACTTTTCTCCCAAACTCAACCGATATAAAACCCAAAGCGACAGCTGACCACACAGCTTTTGTCCTGGCATTTGAATTTGAAACGTAGAACATTTGATTGATTTGCTAGTCAATTTCGTGATCTCTTCTGTCGGTTCTAGACCGAAAGAATCAAAGAAATAAAAGTTATTCGAAGAATCTTTGTGTAAAGCAGAGTGATGAACTCCTTTTTGATCCGAGGTGTGAATGTTTGTGATGGCGTAAAATTTACCTTTCTTGTATTTCAGTTGATCAATTTCATCTCGCATGCAATAATAAAACGGCGAGACGTTCAACTCCTTGGCCCATTTCACAAGTTGAAAATTTGTGGTCGTGTCTTTTCCGTATTTATCGAGAAACGCATTCATTTTTTAAGTCGATTTTTTTAGGTGTTTTTCGAAGTAGACGGAAAGTATTGCTGAAGACCCAATTGACGAAATATATACGTAGTTTGTGTTTGAAAAAACTTGTATAACATTCTGATAAAACACATTCAATAATATTTTGAAGATAAATTTACATTTAAATTTTAAAAATCTTAATTTAAGAGAGCGTAAATGCTTGTCGACATCTAAATTTCTTAACCTTTCATCTAAATCTTCATTTTCGAGATTCATTTTTAAAAGTCAGTTTTTTGAAGTTCATTTTGATAAAACCTTCCTATGATTTGTTCTTTGTCTTGATCGATCAATTCATACGTGGGAGGTGATGTGTTGTTTACTTTATCAACGATGAATATCTCGTTAGTCCAATAGCCGACGTAACCTTTCTGAAACAATGATTTATATTTAAAAATACGAACTCGATCTCCAACTTTGAATTTGGGTTTAATATTCAAATTGCTAATCTCGTTTTCAAAGTTGTTTCGAGTGTTGACGGACTTTATGATATTCGGGTTATTGGGATGGCGTCACACCTATAGACGAATGTATTTTGTTATTGTATTCGTCGACAACAACCGGTAATATTTTAAGCCATTTTTGAGATTTCAATTCCGTGAATTTCTTGAATAATTTGCTTTTAAGAGTCCTGTTGAATCTTTCTATCACTACGGCTTTACCTTCGTTATGCGTGTTGTAAATTTCAAACCCCAGAGATTTCACATTTCTGTTGTAGAATTCGCTTCCTTTATCAACCCACAACTTTAGGGGTCGTCTGTCGGGTTGTTTCATTATGGTTTCGAATGCTTGTTTGACAGTCAGACCCGATTTGTTTTTCAAGGGAAAGACCCAAGCGTATCTCGTGTATATGTCGATCACCGTCAAACAATACTTGTACCCTCCCTCGACTGGCATGTTGATTAAATCGGCTGACCAAATTTTATCTTTATCAAAAACTTTGACTTGAGGTAATGTTTGTTTTTTCGAAATTCTTTGTGAATCTCGTCTGCTATGCCCATACCCAATTTCAATTTTGCCTTCAAGAGTTTAATGATAAGAGCCCTTTGTAATTTCTCTTTGAAAGTGGGATTTGGAATATTTTCGAGTTCGTCTATCATTTGTTTGTCTGCTTGGTGTCTGAATGTTACGTCTTTATTTCTGTACAGTATGTCGTGTTTGAGTGCTGCTGCGTCAACTCTATTAACGGGTTCTTCCCCTGGTTTGGGAATATCATTTTCGTCTAAACGCAGATCTAACCTAGTGCCTGGACCTGTATAATTGTGCCCTGAGATGTTTTTCTCCGGGATTCCATGGGAATCCAGGAAGAGAACCCAATGACTTTTGAATGCCTCCCGCACCGAAATACGTTTTAGGAGGATGGACATTTATTAAAGACATATTTGTTCAACATATATTTTTAATACGAAAGATTTAATACAAGGAGAAAACTATTCAAGCGATAGAAATGAATCACTTTATGAAATGTCACGAGCGATCCTAATAAGAGCTGTCATATAAGAGTAGTTTGAAAAATGAGGTCACGAACGATCCGAATAAGAGCGGTCATAGTTATCTCCCGTCTTACACTATTGGCAGTCATAATTTAAAGGTCACACGAGCGCTCTTATTAGGATCGCTAGATATGCGTCATCCTTTTGTTCTTCACCACTTGTTCTATTTTCGAAAATCTGTATCAACAATTTTGAAACCTTGGATATTTGTCACAGAGTTTGGTAAAAAAATTCTTGGCCTTTTTCTATCCCCTTACCGATGGTTTAAATATTCTTCGTGATATGAAATGTTGGCATCTAATAAAACTTGTGACTGGAATAAAACAAAAATTGATATTTTGAAAAAACAGCAAATTAATCTTAATTCCACCCTGTCGTCTTATGATTAAATCAAACAAAAAAAGAACATACCTTGATTTTTGTATGATTAAATTCCTAATCTTCAACAAAAACATGGCTAACAGTTGAGAGTCTAGACTGTCTGTGCTGATGTTGCACGCGTGATATGTTAATTATAGCGTGACATATATCCAGTGAACAATAGACGAGTGACTGTTACTAGGCGTTAAAGGTAATTTATCAAATCAATAATACTCTAGACTGTATATAAACCGTGTTACCTCCCATTAATCAGTTGAGGTTTTTATCCAATAATTTTTATTTCGCATTTCTCTTATAAACTAATGCTCAAAAGAAAGTACCCACTAGGTTTGACCAATTGTTAGGAGAAAACAAAAGCAGATAGAAATGAACAACTATGTAATTCCAATAGAATATTCATTTCTACAACAAATTTACACAAATTTAAGTAACAGTCAGCCGTGTTTACTGTTCGACCGGCACACAAAGACAAGGGGGGTCGGGTTTACTTTTACAGAAATTCAGAAGGCAAATTGTCTTTAAAAAATGATCAATATTTATTTATCAATTAATTAATTAATAGCAAGTGTGACTCCCATTAGCAGCAATGCAGGCGACAACACGTCGACGCATTGATGATGTAAGACGTTGGATGACGTTAGGCGTTATTCTTTGCTATTCTCCTACGAGACATTGTTCCAGCTGTTGAGCAGTGACAGGTTGCGTCGGTCGATTTCGGATTTGCCGATCGAGGTAATCCCATAGGTGTTCAATCGGATTCATGTCGGGAGAACAAGCTGGCCACGGTAAAACAACGACGTTGGCGTTTTGAAGAAAGTCATGTGTCAATCTTGCTGTATGTGGCCTTGCATTATCGTGTTGAAAGACAATGTCACGGGGTTGTTGCCGGATAAATGGTAGAACAACTGGTCGCAAAATCTCGTCTCTGTACCTTTGAGCATTAAGGTTGCCACGAATAGTCACAAGTGGTGTTTTCCTATCATCGCAGATCCCTCCCCACACCATCACACTACCGCCTCCAAACGCTCTGACTTCCTGAACACAATTTGGTCTTAAACGCTCACCTATATGTCTGTAAACACGAGCACGACCATCATTTGTGTAAAGACGAAACCTACTCTCGTCCGTGAACATCACACATTGCCCATCACGAATCTGCCATCGCCGAACTCTCCTGGACCATGTCAATCGACGACGTCGGTGTTGAAGTGTCATGTGCACTCCTCGGTAGGGGCGACGTGCTCGGATACCACGTTCCCTCAGTCGCCGGTACACTGTGTGTCGACTGATACGATACCCCAATGCCGCCGATGCCGTTGCTGTTGCAGTAACGAAACGATTCCTCAGATGAATTGTCCTGATGTGGCGGTCCTCACCTGGCGTTGTGACACGTGGTCGACCACTCCTAGGCCTGTCTGATGTACTGCCTGTTTGCCTCAAACGCTGCATCAATTTTGTTACAGTTATTCTGGAGCAGCCGAAGGTTCTTGCGATCAAGGTGATGTTTGCTCCATGTTGCGCCATTCCCACAGCTCTTTCTCGTTCAATCCGGCTCAAACGTGGCATACTTTTTGTGTTTTTCTTTATCCTCTATTATTAACTTGTCCAGTAAACTGATTTATACCCTCATCATGCACGTGCATTTCGTGCAACATCAGAATTTGTCGCTTTTTATTTTTAGCGTCGTTTGCGTAATTCGTTCACTTTTTTCATCATTTTTTCATGTGAAATTTTGTGTCGACCGTATGTGAGATGTATTACAGTGGTTTAATCACTTTATTTTAATTTTTGTTAATCGTACTGTAAATTATATAGGTGGGTACTTTCTTTTGAGCTTTAGTTTATGTTGTAATTCTTTCAACTCGTTAGATCTTTTCACTGCATCGCTTATATCTACTCCTGAGGAAATTTGTTGTTTGAGACAAA